CTCATTTCTGCAACAACTTGGCTGACTCTCCCACATTGTACGAGCGGTCTATTTAACTAAATTAATGGTTGCTCTGGTTGCCAGAGGAGGCATCAGCCTCGTGACTACCAAAGAAACACGGCTTTCGTCATGATGCGTCAGAACTCTTCTAAACGAAGACCTTCTAACTCTCAGGGAAGAGTTCAAATGGTTTGAATAATGTTTTCTGGTTATCGTTTTTTAGCGAGTTAGTTTTCTACGGAGTGGGATCGCTAACCCCACGCCAAACGCGCCTCTTTTATCCGGGCTTGGGACCGGCAATAGCTCCGGAAGGACTCCAGGCGGAGTTGTAATATTGGTTTATTATCCAGCGTGGTTTTCATATTGTTTTTGTTTATTTCAGCTTGCCTTTTAATTTTTCCAGTTGACGTTTTATTTTTCTAATTCAACCTTTATACTTCTTAGTTTAATTTGTTGTTAACACTGTTTTTTCAAAGTGATAAGTGTGTTTCAGGCGTTTCATGGAAGTTTGCATACGGTGCTGAAATTTTTTTAAAAAGTTGCATAGTTTCATCGACCAATGAAAGCATCTTAACCTTGAATTTCTGTAAGTTTAATACTTCTATAGAATTCGAATTTCTTATATCTTAACACATTTAACCGATGATATTCGGACGCTACAGGAAGCAAAACATCATTGATCCCACTGAGAGAAAATTAAAGACTTAAACCGTCAGTTCTAGAAAACAATTATCGATCATCCAAAATAGATTTGGCTTTCGGTCTTTTTGCTTTCGATTATCAGTTTATTCACAAAATCTGGAATCTTATAAAAAGCGATTAATCCAAGTAACAAAAATGAGTGTACTGCCGTATATCTAGTACTATCAGGGAAAACAACATAATTATAAATAGAAAATTTCCTTTCATTCTTTTGTTCCAAAAACTTTGGAAATTTCGATTTATCCCTTTAATTATATGACAATGTTAAACAGATAATTTTGATCAATAATCTTATGAATTTCACCATTTTTAAATAATATACAAAACCTCGTTGTTGTTTGTTAAATTTGTTTAAATATGTGCACTGAATCTACTGAACAGACTATTTGAAGTTCGGCATCATCACTATCAAGAAGAACAACCCAAAATTTATTAAAACGGTAATAAATAAAGTATAATTCGATCAAATATCGATACCTTTTTTTCATTGATTATATCATCAGGAAAACTTTCCGAATGCAATTAGTTTATAAGAGTTTTGTCAGACAATTATCAATATTTACTCACATAAAAGAGAGTGTGAATTGTTCGCGATAGCATTAACATTCAGTGAAAGGACTGATAGAAAGAAGCCTTCAACCATGAATTATAACGGAAATAATATTCATTAAAAAAAACTATAACTACACGTCTAGACAGAAATATAGCTTTATTATTTGTAAAATTTCATATTGTCAGTTTTTATACTCAGTGACCACATTTCTCGAACGTTTAATTGTTTATGAACTATTTGTTGGTATACTTCAATATTAACGGTAATTAGAATTCGATTGATAGTGTCGAACAATGAAATCTGTCACAAAACTTTTCTCTTATATGGAACATATCCAGTATTTATCATTGTCATTCATTCAAACCAAACTCAGTAATAGGGTTGTAAGATTTATTGTCATTGGTTTAGAAGACAGAAAACAAGCACGTACAAGATAGATGGATTTCAATTGGTCAGTCTGTTTGACAATTATAACACTGATCTAATTAGACTCAAATACTGCAGTTATCTCGTGTGTGGATGATCCAAGAAGTTGATATGTAGAGTGAGAATTAAGTCTGATTGCCAGATGTTCGTTTCCTCGATGAGCTAGTGATCTTTGTCATACATTACTTAACTTGCTTAATTGTTAAACGATACTCAATTTAGATCATTTTTGTGTTGCATACTTTGTGAGTGAAAGCATTATTTTACTAAATTGAAAACTATTATTCTGGTTTGTTGTCTTGTCTGTTGATGTCAACCCGATTAGAAGTTCGGTAGAGTGACAGTTGACACTACATCACATCATCGCCCCCGAATGCCCTGGTACGGCCGAGAGTGGGGAGACTCTGCTCACCCTCTCGAAATGCTCTCACATGGTCATGCGTATATAGCCCCTGCCAGGGAAGTCCTACTCACTGCCTTCTCGTGGCGGGGGTGTTGTTTACAAAAATGAGAGGACGAAAAGCGAATGTCCGGCGCTTTAACCGGACCCCAAACCAATGGTGCACATGGGCTCCAGTATCCTGAAGGAACAAATGGCGTATGAACCAATCGTTGGTCACCGGCTACCATGGGACTGCATCTCCTCACGATGCTCCACTGCCTTGTGGGTCAGACGTTCAGGTCAAAGGCTTGGGGTGTGGTCCCCTAAGAAAACCACCTGCTTCGGTTTGGGCACCCGGGCAGTATCACAGCCCTCACACAAATCAATTGAGATTTGTGTGGCGCATATGTATTTGGTGCCTCCCTGTACCTATACTTATGTGTTAAAATAAAAAAAAACATCACATCATCATATCAATAGAATTCACTTCTTTATGTATGTATTGCTTTTTTGTTTTGTAAAACAAAGTTTTTGGAATACTTTTACCGAGAATTGTATATGGTACTTAACATATGATATTGAATAAAGACATTAATAATGATAATAACTTCCATTACGTTTCTTCACATTCAACACGTTTGAACTCCACTGGTCACGGCTTTTAACTATCATGCCAATTCGTCTCCTAATCAATTATAATAGATATTCCCTGATTTATCCTTCATTGTATTGTTTGCTCATGAAAAGGGAGCACTTTCTCCGGGTTTCAATTTCTCTGTTCCTACAACAAACATGTTGATTGGCAATTAACATCCAATTCGAAAACCTCTATGATCGAATGAACACTAACCCCTTCATTCTTAGAGAATCAAACTTTGTACAATGCTGAACTAGTGGATATAGCGCATTAGTTTGGTATCCCTGGACTAAAGTAAACAAGTATATTAACTTCTCAGCATTTCAAGGCATTAAAAGAATTGCGAAGTAATACTGATAAAATAACAACCATTGTCAGTCATGAAAGCAAATTTATGGCAAATGTTGACTGTGACGTATTACGTAAATCAGAAAGAAACTTCCTTAACGTGAATGTTATGAACAAAAAAGTTTAATTTATTAAAACATATGGGTTCGGTGAATCTTCATTTATATGCATCACCAAAAATTCATAAGTGCAATATCCCCTTACGTCTAATTCTATTCATGTGTCTGTCACCTACACGCATTGGAAAATAGCTGAAAAAGTACTAAACCCTATTCGACACCAATCTTGTAAGTATTCTTTGAAATATTGATTGGAATCAATTAGTTACTTATTGAATGCTAATACAGAAACCAAGACAATGTCCTCCTTTGATGTAAACAGTTTGTGTACAAATTTATCTCTTAGAAAGACCATTGGTGCTTTGTGTGACTACGTCCCACTAAATAGTCTTCAAGTGACATTGCCTGTCAAAGCTTTTAGAGATTTATTATTGTTACTACGTACTGACAATGTGAAATTCGCTTTTGAGGAAGAGCATTTTAGACTGATCGATGGCATAGCTATGGGTAGCTGTTTATGATCATTGGTGGCCGATGTGTTTATGGTTTATGTGGAATAACCGGGTCCTTTTTATAGACATACTGATCAGTAAGAGAGATAATGGTTCCATCAAACGTTCTGTATATAGAAAGCTGATATGGACAGAGAAGTATCTTAGTTTCCATGGTCACTGTTCAATCCGGTACAAACGTGGAATTATAAGGGGCTTATTCAATAGGATCAGTCGTACTTGTACTAGCGATACCATTGAGGGGGATGTACATACCTTAATTGAAACATTGATGAATAACGGTTGCTCATTAAGGTTTATAAACCATCGGAAAGGTAGCAAGATGATGAGACCTAAAACATTTTCGTCACCCGAAGACCGATCATAGTTTTCCCTACCATTCAGACATGACACAAATTGGCTTATTTTGAAAAAGGCGTGAACTCTGAATATCAGTAAAACCTTTTACGTAGCCCAACTCATCACTATCGAAAACTCAAGATCTATATTTCACTAGAAACGTAAACACCATGTAAATGATCGCCACATTCTATTGCGTCTATCAATTTACATGCATGTGCGGAAACACATACACAGACAGGTGTAATCGTGATCTCCGATAAAAAGGGGTTGGACACATACTTAAATAGCTACAGAAACAGATGAATTCCAATGGTCAAATAAGATCACAGGATGGAGACCTGTCATATGGTTAATAAAACGTCAGCCAATGTAGTGTTATACAAGAGTTTTTAAGGTCGCATACCAAGTTTCATCGAAGCCGTGACTATACGCAAGCTGAAACCCTCTTTATGTGTTAAAAAACATATCGTCAATAATCTGGAGTTATTTACCAATGAGCTGCTGCTTCCCAGCCTTTCCATGTTAGGCTTATCGCATCAGTAAGCACATCATAATTATCAGTATAGGGTTGTGCAGATTGTTGAGTTTCCATCTCTATAATCTGCACAACCCTATACTGATATAAACATCGTAATTCTTCACACCCATTGGATATTTAAGAACTGTTATCAATTAATTAACACTGCAAAAAATCACAAATCGTTTATTTTATGCCCACTACACAAATTGTTACTCGATTTTTAAATCACGGAGGTCATTTATAGTGTTATCACACAGATTAGTAACATTATTCGAAAAAAATCAATCGAAATACGATAGTGTAATGGAAAGTTAATTGTTTATATATGATAGTGTAATGTGTAGGTTGTGAGAATGGATATACAAGAACCAGGATATTTGTATGTATGTTCAATCGTATGAACAAACAGTCAGTACAATAATTGAATAAATTATTTATGGAGAGAGAGAGAGGAAAAAAATATTAGTTTACACTTTAATATATAAATATTCTAAACTACTTAAATTGTTTATTTATATAATGATAATGTTTCAGTACAATTTTTACTTATTACAATATTGCATAATAATTTTACTAAGTTATACTTCAAATGAAATTGATGCTAAACAACATAAACGTATGTACCAACCTCTCTCGTTGGAACTAATCAATTACATCAATTATGAGGTAAATGAAATATACATTAAGTTATATTATAAGTATATTAATTATTATTATACAATATGTTTAATGATAAATAACTTCAATTGGAACTTCTGAAGGTCTAAGAATCTATGACAAATGGAATCCATACATGTCGATAATGTGACACTCCTTACTGATGATACCGTCTAATGAATCCAATGATTGATTGAAGTTATAGATATAAATTATTAAATTCCAACCTAGTTTTATTGAAAATCGTTCTCACTTAAGGAGTGATCTGTGAATCTATGTTTGATCTCTGACAAGGGCATATGTGTTTACTGCTGTGTTCCGGGAAGCTATAACGAAATGACTAATCAATGTCTAGTTTATAAGAGTTCATCGGCTGAAATTCGTCTATCATCTTCATAGTAGAATAATAGTTATTTTTTCAGGTTAACATATTTATTATCTCAAACGTGAAATCTATATCGTGTTATAACAAAAATAAGTCACCACTTAAGAATTATTTTGCAGTTGAAATGTACAACACTGTTTAGTCTTCTAAGGACACCAGCGAATATTGTTTATTTATTTTAACTTAATTTATAAATTTCATTGAATTCGGTAAATTCAAGATGATGAATTCCAAATCATCGCTTTATCAAGAGATTTGAGACTAAAGTCTATTCACGAACAATTGAGAAGTGAATAAGATGAATACATGATGAAACTATCAGTACTGTTTAAACCTATAGAAAATATATCTTACAAAATTTCTTTAGTGATTCTTCCGATATACTTACTTTAATCTAAAATCAGAATCTATAGAGTAACTATTTTATCTTGAATCGGAACTCAACACTAACACGGTACTATTACATTGAAGTTATGTTTGACCACATATGATTGTTTAAATACTCAACAGAAAAAATAAGACGATCTTTTTGATCTGTTATATCAATCTTTATCTTCATATATTTTTCAACAGATTTTACTGAAATTATAATCAATTACATTTAAGTAGTCTTAAAACATTTTGCCTCATAGTTACTTTCCTTCAGAAATTAAAATTAATCATGAAATTCGGTAACAGATGTTACTGTTCTATTTATGCATTAATCATTCAGAAAGCTAATATTTCTGTGTAATCCTATACAACACTGATAACTAATAGTTATTTATGATCGATTAGTTTCTAGAAATTCGTTCAATCTAAAGGCTGTTTCTAAGAAAGACTAGCATCAGTTGAAAAACCAGAAAATACTAAATAACTACTTTAGCTTGGTCTGGGATTTATTTACGGTCCGTAACTGCAGTCTCATACGCTACTGAAACTAACTCTAAAATTTACAATAAGTGCAGTAACAATAAACTAGCGGAGTGAAAACAATAGCTGGTTATATATATCACAGCTCGGCAAAATCAAAATCCAAGAAACCTAGTTTTCAGCAAAGATGGGGGATGGCTAGCAGTGGAATTCAGGCTAAACGTTTGGTCCTATTTGTGATAAGTCTGTCGGATGTGACCGCATCCTCAAGTTGATTTTTACTTGAACACTCGAACCCAGTACTGTTAGATTCAAACGCCATTGCATTATCCATTTGGCTACTGAGTTCAGAGAGGTACTAGCTTATGCGATCGGTTGAAGCTTAATTTCTTTGTATCAATTATTTGATTCTTCCTATTAAAGTCGAGGACTGCAACTGATCAGCATGTTATTAGCATATGTGCATGCTGTGAACATCTACCGTGGGATAGAGGTATATCCAGCTGACTAGTGTCAAATGGCACGAAACCCACGTCCTGAATTCCACTGCTAGCCACTATCCGTCTTTGCTTAGAATGCTTGTGACTTGAGGCTATATCGAGGCAATCCGCACAGCATGCACATATGCCAATAAGATACTGATCAATTGCAGTCCTCAACGTCAACGGAAAGATATAAATGAATATGGTTTTCGTATTTTATCTTTAAAATCCATCTGCTTAGTAGTATTTTATATCCTATCTGTAAATAATTAAAAGTGAGACAAAATGAATCTACTTTTGGGTGAGTACATGAAGTATTATTACAAAACATTCACGTCAGTTAGGAAATCTCCCATTAAACTGATAAATATGACACCGGAATTTATGATTTTCAATAGTTACCTTATTCAGTAATCACAATGATCTGTTGTTACTTAGACTCAAAAGACCCACCTAATTATTTATGTAAAATATAGCATAACGCATTACGGACAATAAATATCATTAGATTCATAACCGCTGTACTAGATTTAAGGTTATCTATCTTGTAGTTTGTAAACACTAAAGAGTATAGAAACAATCACTGAGTCATTGACATTTGTGTAAAAAAATGTTATAACAACTAATTGATAAATATTCTCTAGAAATAGACAAACAAATTCAACAAAAGGTAATCATCTTTTGTTCCCCTCATCCTAACAACAGTATGCGGCTATCACTTATCTCCTTTTCAATGATAATTTGTTGCTTAAATAATCATAAGACTATTCCAACCACTTAATTGTAAATGTCAGTGTTAAATGAATTAAGAAAAAAGTTCAGTTATGTTAGTCACTAATGCTACTAATTTTTCGCTACACATCCTTGAGAACCTGGATTGTGGAAAACCTATTGGAAGTTTCCGTTACATCGGTAGCGACTGATAATAAAGATCACCATTAGGGTTTTCGATATAGTAGTCAAAAATTAAACCAGATGGTCATGTCTCAGTTTCGTTGGTTGATTAATGACCCACAAAACCTGTATTGTACAATCGCTTGAGAGAACCTCCATGTCAATAATTTGGTTTCCGTTGGCAATTACCACTTCATCACGTGTCACCTTATTTCAGAGGATCGGTCACACACCCACACACCTGAGCAAACAAAGTTAATTTATGTTTGACATTTGTATACAAAAAAGAAAACTCTAAACGGAATATTTGGTGTGAAGATATTGAGAATTAGTTTTGGATTCAATAATGACCATCATAAGTTACAATAATATATCTGAACATCTTCCTTTTTTCTTTCTGTCATAAAATATTAAGGCCAATACGACTTGGAAAGCTGCTCCCACTACAAGATTTAGGACAGTATCTGATATTCGTAGAATGTTAGGTGCACTTCCAGATCCAAATAATGAACAACTAGAAACTTTATGTGCTGGTTACACATCAGATGAATTACCCAAGAGCTTTGATGCGAGGGTAGAATGGCCACATTGTCCTTCTATCTCTGAAATACGTGATCAGTCATCTTGTGGTTCTTGTTGGGTAAGTAGTAAGTGTTAAAATGTTAAATACGTTTTAGTAGTTTACAGCGTTTATATTATCATATGTCACTTATTTATTTTCTAGTGTATTACGACTTGAACTAAATTTGTTTTGATGGAGAAACAATCGTCGTCGTGTTAGATAATAAAATTATTTTTCAACTTCAAAGGGAAATAATGTATGCAGTAATTTCCATAAATACAATTGACTATGCTCATAGCCAGTAATGTTTCAGTGGACTAAAAGGAAATTATTTAAAGTCTAGTGATGTTAGTCTAAGAAAAACGTATAAAATTGAGTTAAGAATATGGAAGATATATATTTTTACACTATCCGTAATTCGTCCCCAAATTATCAGTAGTTGTACGCCCAGTAGGTTGAAAAAATAAGTCCACAATAATGACGAGGAACTGACAACTTTAATATATGGATTATTGTTCAAGATGATGACTTATGATTAACCCAAGTGATATTGAGAGACAGAAGCTGTAAATCTGTATGTAACGGATATATTAGAGACCTGTTGATTTGCCACGGAACTGAGAGAGAACGAGATGTGGTAATATGTAGCTCGTGTATTTAATGAACGACACTCAGTGCAACATAGAAATAGGGTACAGCAAAATTTGAGGTCTACCTAAATAACAATTTGTAGTTAATAAGAATAATTGTAGAAATGAAATGAATTTATGGAATACGTGATTAATAACAGAAAATTATTAGCAAATAAAGTCTACATTAAGTTCATGAATAAAAATTCATTTCAACAAGTTAGTCCTTTTTTCATACTTACACCGTAAGTTCAGTTATATAAGTAGAATTGCATAAATTCATTTTATTCCCTGAGTGAAATCGATTAAAATGAATTGTTATCATCATAGTGGAGCAATGATTTCAATAGAATTATTAAGATTGGAGAAGAATTGTAAACAAATAAAATGTGGGTAAAACCATTTTATAACACCAGACTAACAACTAAAGATCACAGAGCTAAACAATCTCCGTCTTCTAATTACATTATCGAAACAAAAACAACTTGTAAACTTTACGAAGTAGCTGATAAGTAGGAATAACATGAGTTCAGATCAGTCATTTAAAAGTAGTTATGAATTCAGAACGACTGAAAATAATACAGTCAATATATGAGAAAATGTCTTAAAAATCACATAATGAAACTAGCTGAGTATCGTTATGGTGCAGAAAGATTTACTCGTGTTTATTTTGGAATATGTTCTTGGAATTAGATGTAGACCCTTCTTTCCGCTCGACCAGAGCGATTGCAAGGGTAGATATATATAAATTTATACACTCTGTTTGGGACATCATTTAAGGGGTACTTGTCGATCTCTAATTGTGATAAACAATATTTTGTTTGGTACAGGACAATCAATGTTCTCATTAATATTGTTGCTTGTCCCTACGAAGTTATCACTCTTAAATCTCAACAAAATAAATTCATTTTGTTTAATCATTCCACACATACTAAATACAGTCAACCCGATTTCCACTTCATTAATATATTATCTTTTCTGCATTACAATAATACCATAGGCATTTGGCGCAGTTGAAGCTATGTCTGATCGCATTTGTATAAAATCAAAAGGGAAGCATAAGCCATTTTTAAGCGCAGAAAATTTAGTATCTTGTTGTTCATCATGTGGAATGGGTTGTAATGGTGGTTTCCCACATTCAGCATGGTTATATTGGAAAAACCAAGGTATAGTAACAGGTGATTTATATAATACAACAAACGGTTGTCAGCCCTATGAATTTCCACCATGTGAACACCATGTGGTCGGTCCATTACCTTCATGTGGTGGTGATGTTGAAACACCTCCATGTAAAACAACTTGTCAACCAGGATATAATATATCATATGAGAAAGATAAATGGTATGGTAAGTCGAACGATTTAAACACTGATTCACAATATACATATGTACATATGCATAATGCATTTATGGTTTTGAAACGTTATACATTATAATAGTCACTTCATTATTGAGTTATTAAACTCACAGACAGAACTCTCTTCTAGAGTCAGATCACATGACTATGCTATTCTGAAATGTGTGCATGGATATCTTGAAATAATTTACTTTATTCAGTATAACTCTTATATTGTTAGCTCTGGACAATCTTTAGATTCCGTTAAATTAGGAATTTCTGTAGTCTGAATTATCTTAATGGTAATAAGATATAATTTAAACACTAAAGACATATAAAGCTAAAAGTGAATCATTATTCCTGGTGTTTTAATCTGATGTAGTTGTATATGTTAAAAAATGTGTCTGCAGATCATTAAAGCCACTTGCGATTGAGCTTCTTATTCAAGTCACTCAAGAAAAATTTCCTTCTATGGTGATGACAACCGAAAAGTGACAACTGCCTTCATACATCTATCAGCACCCAGGATCATAATGTTGACGACAGAATGCTTCCCTTACCTTTTGATAAATCTACCATCCCAACAATTAACCCTTCTCGTATATCTTTATCACAAAATGTTATCCGTGGTCACCTGAAACCACACTCTAAACTACATGTTTGAGCTAATTTTCGAGCCTCGCATTACAAACGATAACAAGATTCTTTAACTAGGACTCTAAAATCTCACGCCCTCGATGTTGTGCGTCCCCAAAATAGGCGTACAGGACCTGAGTACAATCGCTCATTCGATCTCACCTTGTCATAGGGAAGAACTTGCACGATTTGCCTGTCGATTACCCGGAGACCCCACGGCTACTTCCTATGGCCTCGCTGATGTAAGTATAGTATTAAATTCTAAAGCAGGATAGGCTCTGGATCCCAGTGGAAAGTCGCTTTCGCGCTATTTGACTAAAGGAAACAGTAGGACACGCGCCGTTGATTTTTCGTTGTCTCTGCTTATATTCCCCTTGATTGCAGCTACAATGAGGTTAAAATGAACTTAATAGGAAGCTATCAAACCTTATCCTAAAAGCTAAACGCTTTGATGTAATAAGACTTCAGTTTTATTTTAATGTTTAAGTCGAAAGACTGAACCAAACTGAAGGGCACTTAGACGAATATGACGGCGTTGTGGCTCAGCGAATAGATGATTGCGACCATTTACCGCTATAATGCTCAGACAACCGTCTGTTTTTAACAGACACCAACTTTGAACGTGAGGGGAAACATCATCTGACGTAGCGACCTTCACAACGGACTCATTGATGGACATTAATAGATCACATCATCGTTAGACATCGTAGTAGGCGCTCAACAGAACACTGCAGCTCATTCTGGAGCATACGTCTAGACTCGAATCACGCTCCACTTCCAACACGAATTTATCTGCGTCGTACCACATATAGAAAAGTCACAGCACGAAAACTTGGTGAATAAGTTAAAAATATTTTTTAGGAACGCCTAGTGAAGTAGTTACTCAACCGTGAATGTGATATCCAATCCGAGGTATCTTTGCATGACATCCAGAAAGCTGTGGAAACAGCAGTGTCACCTACCAATCACTTAGACAAAGGGGTTAGGATGGACTAGTGGATTCCAGAGGTGTCTACTGAACCGACAGATGGTCGGAAACTCATCCTATTTGGCTCCAAATACGATAACTGAATGGAGGCAGCTTAGACGTAAGCCAATGAAAAGTCCCCTTGTTGTGGTCTGCGTGATTATCATAACCGGTTGCTAAAGACTGAATGACATGGCTCAAAATTGTTTACAGTGACACAATTGCATTAATTTTTTGTGCTCCTCCAAATACTGAACTTCGGATTTAATGATAATTTTTTTCTCTCACTGATTTATATTTTCCCGAATCGTATCTTCGATACCTGATGTTTTCTATCACCACTCGGACTGTTAATATTTCTACTATTCCGGGATTCGACCTGACAATTTGTGATAATTAGAAGAATTCAGAATATTCTGTGAACTAGGAATCCACGAAATAATGCAATTTAAGTCAGGTCGAACTATGTGAGCACTAACGAACGTATTGTATTTGGACCTCCAAATCAGGTGCACACCGAGTACAAGAGAATCACTAGTTCATACAAACACCACACAATTTCACCTCTCTGTGCTAGCGGGGTATGGTGACTTCAACTGATGGATATACATACCAGGTTCTACGTTGCGACTTACTGACTGACATTACAGTTTGTTCCTCAATTGTCTGATATGCGTATTGTCGGAGACGATTTATAATGGCTTAGTTATAAGTAAAGTGACTAAGTAGGCTACCAAACGGATCGATAGTTTCCCACAGCCAGTGATACATGAAATCTAAGGTTTTTACACAAGTGGTGGACAGGAAAGCTTCTTCCGAAAATACGTATATATTTCTTTTCAATCTCAACAAACTTTGGTTTGGAAAAGATCAGCCGAAAAAATATTGTGAATATATGTTTATAAGTAATTTAATTTTATGAAATCAGTTCTTGCAGTACATTGGTCACCATTTCATTTACAGGTGAAAAAGTCTATCGTGTTCATTCAAATCCAGAAGCTATCATGCGAGAGCTAATGCAAAATGGACCAGTTGAGGTAGATTTTGAAGTGTATGCCGATTTCCCAAATTACAAATCAGGTGTTTATCAACACGTTAGTGGAGCCCTACTTGGCGGACATGCAGTGCGTTTACTTGGCTGGGGTGAAGAGAATAATGTACCCTACTGGTTAATTGCTAATTCATGGAATAGTGATTGGGGGGATAATGGTTATTTTAAAATAGTTCGTGGTAAAAATGAATGTGGGATTGAAAATGATGTCAATGCTGGAATACCGAAAATAAAATACTAGAGATTTTGGTAAAATATTTTTATTTGTATATCTGCATGTATTCAAGTGAATGGGCTTCTGTAATTCATCATCGTCATCATCATCATCATGAATACAATATTTACTTGGACACTGGGGAAAACATGAATATTAATTAGAACTGGACAATTTCCCCAGTATTTTATTTTAAAATGTAGTAGCCATTTCGAATACTGAGTAACTTTTCTCAATATTTCAAATATTATTTATAAATATACCTCTAAATGCAAAGTCGTTGCATTTGATATATAGATTTAAATAAAATAACAATGATATATATATATATATATATATATCGGGGTCGTATTTTACTTGTTTGATAACAACCTAAGCCGTAGAATTCAGGATGCTTTGATGTTGCCGAAGACGACTAAATTGTCTTAAGCGAGCTCTTCTATATATTCAACCAATTAGATTCAGTCTAAAGAGTGGGTCGATATTCTTGTAAATATCCTTTCTAAAATGCTGTTGCTAATGGTTCTTCCCATATTTTGTTGCAGAACAAAGTTTTACTGGCAGGTGCTTCTACCAACAATAGTCCTTTTAAATCAACAACAATTTAATTCGAGTGAGAGCCCCTAAGTTACCATAGTCGTTTGTGGTTTTTACGAGCACTTGATTATTTAGTATTCTATCTGTCTCGGCCAAAAATGGTTGCAGGGTTTCATCAGTGATTACTTTTTTAAGACAGAAGTGATTTCAAAATATTTCTGGCTAACATTATGACATATTTCCGTGTTCTACCTCAGTGACTCGTTCCAGGTGGGTTAAAATGCCATCCTCATCCTCTACCGTCAATATCACTCTATACCTCATTTTGGTTCCGATATCTAATAATCTGTTTCAGACAGTCTTTCACTTCTCTATAATCCAAGCTGCCATTACGATATATGTATCTTTGGTTTCTAGTTTCGGTGAAAAAAAACATGATAGTCCACATCAAAATGAGTCCGTAATAAAAGTATGAGTGATTTTGTATAAATGCCTTTGATGTGAAAAAAAATTAACAACTACTTAAAGGTAGTTTAAAGTAATATATACCAACCAAGCAAAAAGGCAGTACATGAACTTCTTGACAGCATTTCGGTAACAACTCCCTCATTCAGAAACATCGCGCAAAGTATGGTTTCTGATATAGATAGCTTTATTTTAAAACCATAGGAATAGCAGAATGACCCTTAATAATTCAGAACACCTCACAAAGACCACTAAACTATTGTGTGATTCCGACATGCCCATCCCGTAGGTGATATTGCATCACAATTAACTGTGCATCAAAGTGTTTACAGAGGAGTACAAATAACCGTTGGTTTTCGAAGGGCAGATATTATAAATGCGGATGCGCATCCATGTGACTGACCTAGTTTAAAATTAAGTGATTAAAATTCCTCATCGAAGCATGGCATACCAGATTTTGCATAACAGTTATCCAACTATTTTTTCTGCATCTTACTGCTACTTATGACCACTCTCTCAGAGTCTTGACTGTACATTATTCTAACGCTTATTTCAGGATAGCAACAAAGAACTTCCAATTAGTCTAATCATTTTTTTCATGACATTATTAGTATTTTGACATCACAAACAGCTTGAGATCGATGACTTTCTATTCTGCTTATTTATGACATTATCAATGAGCCATCTGTACAATAAAAGCGGAACATGATTTACATGTAATACTTGAAAAATCCCTATACTGCAGTGTAGAACAACATATATAAGTGAACAGTATTGTTTTCGATTAGATCCTCATCAGGCTTTACTCGAATATACGTGAATATCTGGTTGAAGATCTGAAATTGTTAAACTGATCAAGGCAGTTTATGAGACAATGATAACGGTGGAAAAGATAACATAAATAAGCATATTAAGTAATAAGTAAAAATTGATAGTGTGATGTCAGGTGTATTAGTTGTGACAAAAATGGTAAAGGCTTGAATCAATGTTTCATAAAAGAAAGTAGGTCGATGACTTGGAAAATAGACACTGAAATATCATTCATCAAAAATTATAAGATTATGCAATAAGGGTTGTTCAGATAAATGAACAGTGAAGTTTATATTTGAGAAAAGGGAGGGAGGGATGAAGAAAAATAACCGAAGAGTGTGGAAAATAACAATAAATAAGATTATTTATTAAGACCATGGGAGAGGTAAAGATGTTGCGAATTTCTTATGAGCACAAAAACGTGGATTGTTAGCTCGAATTCCTGCAGATTCTGTTTTGTGTAAGAGACGAGATCGAACCCAATAAGGAAAACTAATGGGGATACGATAAATAACTTTAACTGACCAGTTTCTGTCTACTATATATGACCGCTATCAATCACTTACGATAGAACCGAGCTGCGTATTGTCATGGCAGTACCTTTTCTTAACCACGAAGGGAGGTGTTCACTGACTCATTGGTTCAGTTGTTTGGTAGTGCGCCCACAGAAGCAGCTGAATTCGTAGATATACATAGGTGTGGCAGAGCCAATAACTTATCATTTAATAGAGGAATCATCATAGATCGGTTCGAGTACGATAGGCAGAGGTTTGTAGTGGCATTGGATCCTAGCCACACGACCTTTGCAGTCGAGCAGACAATTACTGAAAAGACTTATTCACCTCGCGCGCTATTTAAAAAGGACAGTAGTATTTTTCTACTGAGTATATTTTATAGTATTGATTGTTAAATTATGTATCAAGACTACTGTTTTTGCTTTAACTGAATATATTTCTGTTAAAGTAATCCCTAAGAGTACCGCTTTTTTCTAGAGAAGTTTATCACCTGTACTTCTTCTTTACAGGTAAAAAACTTTAAGGGCGCTGGTATTTATTTATCCTTGTTGAGTATATCTTTTAGTATTGTTTGTACCAAATGGTAATAAGGTCTTTTGTAACTACCGAAGTCGGATATTTGAATTGTTGTTAGGTACAGTTATATACAAACCTTTATTTTTGCTTGTGTTCCGTGTCTATCACGTATCTAGCCTCAAAAGACACTTATCTAGAGATAAATTTTGGCTGTGAAATTACAAAACAAATTTACGACGCAAATAAAACATCGTTGCGGGAGACCTTAATGCTATTTCCCTGTCAATTATGGAATGCTATTTGACAACTGCAATAAGTGTTATCACAATGTGTGCACCGGACTCACATCGGCTGCAAATAAAAAACAGCCTCTTCAAGGTTACCTTTACTTCGGCTGAAGAAAGAAACCTGAAACTGGGAAACTCACGCGAACTTATCGGATCCGGAATGCACGTCCTTGATAATGTCAGTCTGGTTGATCGTATTAAGAAATAATCAGCAGAAGTATACTCTAAGAATGCCCGTAGCCTACTAAATAAAATGGCGAAGCTCAAGACAGTGGTGGATATAGAAAAACTGGATGTGATTGCTACCTCAGAAACATGGTTACCATCAGAAGTGCTTGATGATGGAAATTGTAGTGGCAAATAAACCCCCAAAATAAATAGCTCTGTTGGTTTTCGACATTGGATGCACACTACAGTTTCAATGGACTCGTCTAGCTAAAGGCGCTCGGTCAAGCATCCGCACCAGGTCACGTGTGGGAACGCCGTGCTCAACATCGGCCGCAACCGCTAGCCAGATTAGTTCAAACGATCCTCGATATATTGATAGCTTATCAAATATATCTTCGATCTCCTCGCTTCTGTCTTTTGATTTCACTTGGTGGGTACGCTTCATATTAGGTGTTACCGGTTAAAGCGTTGTCAAACTCCGAATACCTGTGGCATCTTCATTGATGAGCCTGACGTGATCTGGTACACCAAATTGCAAACTGTGAGTCTGTTGCTTTATGTGATTTTATATAAAATTGTCTTATTTTAAATTTTTTCATACACTGTGATATTTTTTTCCCGTGTTTTTCGATATATATATATATTTCCCACTCGTTCATTTTTCGTACTTGATATTTTGCCATGACTGAACGGACACCTAAAATATTTAAGTTAAAGACTGTGTCCCCACCTTCCTTCCAACTTATGCCCTTCTTGCCAGGCAACATTGAAGCCTGATTTTGCTACGCAGAAGCGGACTTCTACGAGCACGGTGTGAAGGACACACGTGCACAATTCCTCACAGTAGTCAAGGCACTACGCGCGAATTCAACAGGTACGTAACACCTGATATGTTCACTAGTGATGTTTCTGACTCATACAAAACCCTTAAACGCGGAGATCTAACCGATCGACAAAGGTTAGACCAAATCCTTAACAACATCGACCTGCAACACGGCTCCGCCATAGACATGTTGCAAAGAATGAGAGAATTTATTGGCCAAAGAACCTTCGATGATGGCCTATTCAAACAGCTTTTCTTATCAAAACTTCCTCAACAGGTGCAAGCTGTGCTGGCCTCGTTCCAAAACAACGCCGTAGACGGGCTGGCTGCATCTGCCGACCGCATCCTCGAGATCACTAGATCTTCTAACGCCGAGGTTTTTTCAGTCAAAGTAAAGCCCCAAACCACCCAGAATGACATAACAGAATTATGTCAAACAGAATTATCTCAAACTTCGTAACGACCGTAAACTGTCAAACACCCCGCGAAGAAGCACATCACGTAGGCGATCTGTCTCTAGACCTCGAGAGATGGATAATTCTAACTGGTGCTGGTATCATAACCAGTATGGGAAGTCCTCCAAAAATTGCAGAAAACCCTGCAATTTTCCCAACTCAAAACCGGTCGGCACGAAAAATGTTTCGGGAAACTTTCAAGCCGGCACGGATTAACGGTAACCGTAGCCGGCGAACATAGCCGTCTATTATATGTCACTGATGTGATAACGAGAGTTCGCTACCTCGTCGATACTGGCGCAGAAGTTAGCATTCTCCCAGCGAATTCCAACGACCGGCTTCACGAATCGGTTTTAAATATACAGGCGGCAAACGGAAAGCCTATCGCTACGTATGGCAAAAGGTATGTTTATCTCAACGTGGGTTTACGCAAACCCATTCACTGGAGCTT